TATATATTAAAATAAATATATGAAGAAGAGAATTTCTTATTCTTTGTAAACAGCACATTAAGCATGAAATATCGATCTCATTACTGCCATATATATGTTTATACCAGCTTGAAAAATTGTGTTATATATAAAGTATAATTATTTGTTATATGTAGAGTATCTGCACTATAGCTTTCTGCATTTGTACATACAACGTATTTTTGTTTTTATATAGTTATCCCACCTATGGGAAGGATGATTGGTGAGTCCTTCTAAAATATACTATAGTCGTATAGATTATCATAAGGAATAAGATAGCATGTACAAATTTATATCAAGCTGATTTATACAGAGATAAAATTCTAATATTAATACTTATAATTAATCTATATGACTGTCTTTAAAGCTTCTTTGCGTGATAAATACATTGATTCAGTTGTAAATCTTTGCTTTTAATAATATATTTATTAATATTATCAGAAGTAACTAAGAGAAAAATCATGCAGTTTTTATGATAGAGAAGCAGAAAGCTGCATAAACTTTCTTAGTTACTTGATGCATACACTTATCATGTAATATGTGATATATATACACATACTTAATATTTTATAATGCTTATCACAGTGCTGTCAACATGAATAGAATAGTCTTAGTATCCAAATATGCAGGTAACTAAGCCAAGAACGTTTGCCCGTCATCTAAAATGATTTAGTAATCGAATGATTTTTACATTCGGGTAAAAATTGGACGAGTGTCCATTAGTTCCTCGATACAAATAAGGAAAACGGCAGTATCATATTCACTCGATAATTTCATGAGAAATAATATCATTACCTATAATTACACATTATTTTATATATATAATTACAAGGCATATATTCCAATGTACATTATTTTATAATATCCAAAAGTGCTTGGGTAATATTTAAAATAATAGTGTTGACAGCACTATCATAAATTTTTTTATAAAATTAATGAATATCTTTATATATTGTATATAAACTGCTTTTATATAAATCGACTCTAATAATATTTTGACATTTTTCATGATTTGAGTACAAAAAAATGTATTTATAAATTTAATTATTCGTGTTTAAATGTGTTGTAATTTATATAAATGGATATATATATATATATATGAAAAAGTTAGAGATTGTGCTAGCTAATATATTAGCTAATATTAGCTAATATATTAGCAAGCACAATCTCTTTAACTTTTTCCACGTTTTCATGATCTCGCGTCATCTTCGATGTCTCCTCGGCCTTCCTGAAAGCGTTTGTACCATTCATAAACTCGTGGTTGTGACATAGTATCGTCGCCAAACGCCTTCTTTAACATTTTGAAAGTTTCGCTGCACTTAATTCCGTTTTTAACAAAAAATTTCAAACAAACTCTGATCCGACATTTCGCCACACAAAAAATCGCCGATCACACTGAAGTACGTCTTGCTCATTCGCTCGCCAAACACAAACTAAGCGTCGTAGCTGCCTGAAAATTGACACGTACGTCACTGGCAGTGCTACTAACACACACACAAAGAATCAACTCGATAGACAAGATACAGCGCACGCAATTTGAAAATTCTCGTTACTTTTTGATCACACCTCGTATACTTGGGTCGTTCACGTCAAAACCGAAATTTAATTTTTAAACAGGTAAAGAGACAAAATTATGACTAGTAAAGAACATTTATTTTTCAACATAATCTCCATTTACATCACGACATTTTTGCCATCGATGTATCAATGCGTTAATACCGGCAGAATAGAAGGATTTGTTTGAAGGATGTCTGAACCACTGTAGCACATACGTTTTAAGCTCATCTTCTGACCGAAAGCGCCTACCGCCCAAATGTTACTTCAAGGGACCAAGCAAATGGAAATCTAAATGTTTGCAGTTTTTTCCTGTTTTTCTGGGAGATGTGTGTTACAATGTGTGTTAAAGTGGTTCAGACGTCAGGACAATTTCTTTCATTCTGTCGGTGTTAACGCACTTGATACGTCGATAGGAAAAATGCTGTGATATAAATAAAGATTACGTTGAAAAATAAATGTTCTTTACTGGTTATAATTTTGTCTCTTTACCTGCCTAAAAATTAAATTCCGGTTTTGATGTGAACGATCCAAATACAAATTCTATATTGTTCCTAATCATGTGTATATAAATTCTATATTGTTTCTTATGTTGCAATATATTGAGCACTTTATTGATTTAAATGAATAGAAGATAAAGAAACAACACAAAAAAAGTATGCATTTATTTTCATTACTATTCATTACTAAAGAGGCTAAAGACTTTAATAGAATAAAAATAAATAGCGTAATAAAATTAAAATAACTATTATTCTACAAAATAATCAAAAATAATGTAATAAATTTTCTATTTCAGGGTGACCACTACATATACAACACCTACATTAGGTGTACCTAATGCAGTCACAGCAAGTACATATCCACAGATGCTTGGCTTGAGCGAACAAGTCCAAGCTTTAATGCCAGTACATACATCAGCATCAACTTTATTACATCCGCAAAGACACACACCATCTGTACATAACACATCTCATGTAAAATATCCACCTCCCTTAATACCAGTCAACGGTAGCAGCGGTAGCAGCAGCAGTTCCAGGTATATATTAGAGTTTATCATTATTTTACAGGAATCGAATGAATAGACATGTGATTAACAGGAATTTTTGTTGTAACATTTATCTGCTCTATTTGATTATCACATTCTCATATTTAAGTAATTTTTCAGGGATACCCGAGGGAGAAAACCATTAATACCGATATCAGAAACACATATGTCACCTTGCCATGTACAACCTTACCAAATACAGAAAGCGCTAGTTGAAGAAAAAATGGTACCCTGCATCAACTTCAAACCTTACATCTACACTGAATTGTTAATGACACTTCCCGATTTTATTTCCAACTTTTTTCCTGCCTGTGACATCGAGAGTTGTAAACAAGTCCTTACAGACGTTCTACAAATAGACTTATATCAAGGAAATAGGTAAGATTATATTTGGAACACAATATATTCTCTCCATAATATGTTCTATACTACTGCAAAAGGAAAAGTATATAATTAATATTAATTAATATTTATTTTACAGACTACAAATGCAGATGTTAATGGACGCAGGCAAATGTTCTTCGCTAGTTGAAAATCTACCTTTGATCCAAGTTAGGAGTGTAATGAAATACATGCCGCAATTCAAATATATGTTTAATAGAGGAGATATGGTCATGCCTTCCCCAGCTCATTCGTCCGAAGAGCACCCTGCCAAAAAGCGTCAACGTACCAGCTAGGATTGGCTACAGCCTTACTGGCCTACTTACGATTATTATCATTCGGCGTTCTAAATAAGCCGATAACACGTCGATTTGCGTATTTAACATCGTTGTGATACGCCCGCGAGATATTTAAATAAAAGATTATATTTCGTGTGTGATACGCAACAAAAAGTACACACATCCGACGATTCAAGTTTATGTACAGTGACAGCAGAGAGCTATTTCTTTCTCCAAAATGTATTTACTGAAAAGAATGTGACTGTAAATAAAACTGAGACATGTAAATTTAGAATATTATGGTTGACAATTAAGATCTGCTTTTTGTTTATTTTATTTTGTTCAAAATCTGCTATAATGTGCGAAATACTACATTGTCGCAGGACACAAATAGACTTAAGAGAGGAAGAGAGCATTCTTATTTTTAAATTAAATATATCCTATCATTCCACATATATATATACATGCACGTATATAAACATGCGCGTGCAATATATAAAATACACATTACTTTATTTCTACCTCTTTGCAACATTAAAAAAATAGTAATCTTTTAGACTTTCCATTTTTCATAGTGTTCTTGTTACATGTCAATATATTGTTTATTTTATGAGTTTTATTTTAAAAAGAAATTCGGAGAAAGAAAATGCTATTGTCCAATTTACAGATGGACATGACGTGCTATGGAGTTATTCAAAATGAATAACCTATTTTGCATATTAAACATATATCAATAAAAAGCGAAAAATGGAAGTAATGCTTCTTCAAGTTCCTAGCTATTACTAGTACGTATTACGATAACTAGCTGCAAGCTAATTTAAAAATGTTAATTCATTTATTCATTGTGAGTTTTTATACCATTTTCATAAAATTTTGTTTAATGAAAGCATTACTGTACGTAATGCCGAACAATTTTTTTCGTTTCAATTGTTTAACAAATACACTGTATACAGGAGAGTGTGATAGACGTATCAAATGAAATGATAAAGTGAAACAAATGTCTACTTAATGTGAAAAGATTGCAGTAAGCAATATCTCGTGGACTACATTTATGAAAGATGAATAATATATAAAAATGACATTTCCACAAATCGTTAAAAAAAAGTAAAATTGACACATTCTGTTTGTTTCTATATTTTAATATTTATATTTATGAATAGTATTTCTCAATATATTGCTGCTGCATCTTCCTGATATTCATATTGTAAATTTTTGCTTTAAGACAATTAATTTTATTATTTAAAAATTTTTCGAAATTTGTTACACAGTTACATTTACATTTTTGTACCTATACTCAGTATTTGTTGAGGATAAGTATCTCATGATAGGGTTAGCGTGAAATTTGTCACATATGATTCAAATAGAAATATAAAAAATATATATAAAATTTTGCGAGAGACAGAAAGAGAAACAATATTTATTCACGTTAAATGTGTTGTACACATCGAGAATATTATAACAAATCTATTTGATCAAGATTTTAGAAAAAATGTTTAAAAACAATAAATGTGTGGTAGAATTAAGTCCAATGCAATTATGCTCAAAGTTAAAGCCAGATTCAGTTGTGACCGTTTCACGCTTAACCCATTTCATATACATATTAAATTTGTGTATGCATTTGAAAATATCCAAGCTGCAACATGTATAGAAGACTATTAAAACGTACGTAGAGCGTAACTGTGAAGGAAAATGCAATGACATTCAAGCGATGAAAAAATCTATTTAATATTCGAAAACACATTGAAATAGTCTTCCATTTTGATCCATAATGCGTTACGAGAATCAAATTTTGCTTTAAGTTTAATAAATTATTTCAGAACATTATCAATGCACACATTATTAATGAGTCTTCGATAATTGTCGTTTATTTTCACTTATAATAATAGAATGCAAAACGCAATAGTGCCCTACGTTTTGGGACAATGTATAAGATGCTATTTTATCTCTTCTCGATGTGGGACAGAGGTTTAAATAGTTATTATCGACCGGCTATATATACTTTCGTCACTCACTAACTTTAGCGTTAAGAAATCTCTAAAAAAAATGTACATGGCAAACACAAGTGTATATAAAGAGATAATTATAACGACTGATTCACGTCGAACGTGAATCTTCCACACAAAAAAACAGAAATTGTTCGTATATCCTGTCGTAATATCAATATATTTCATCATTTATAAAGAATATTTTGTTGGCTCACCATTTTTAAAAGATCTTATTATTGCTATTGAGATTGTAGAAAAAAAATTCGAAAATCACAAACACACAATTTACGGTTATTATTTAAATAAAAATATTTGAGCGATAAAATATTTCATTTAATTTTGATACATATAGCTTTTTATTTAATTTAGTTTCTGTAATATTCGATATTATGTACGTACACAACAGATTTATGATTATCAAAAATACCATATATGGAATTTTATATCTTTTACCTCATTTTTACAGATAAGAGTAAGTTTGATGCGATTATAAAACAATGCTATATTTTGCAGAAAGAGATATAGGACTGCATATGTATATATGTAGCAAAGAATAGTACATGTTGATTTTACGTCATAATTCTTTAGTGCAGCAAGAAATGTTTATAGAATTTCTTGAATTATTTTAACATGAATGCATACCAATTTTATTTTATTTTACATATCTATGTTATACGCGTTGCATTCTTCTTAAAAAACAAAAAAAAAAAAGAGAAAAAAAAAGAAAAACGCAAGAGACAAATCCATGTCCCCGAACGCGTTTAGAATATAATTATTTTTAATATATTAGATTAGCATCTTTTTTTGTTAACATCTGTTAAAATAATATGTATTATACTTTATTATATATACGCTATCGTTTGTACATATAGGATATAAGAGAAATAGAGCTATACTAGATATTTCAAATAAATTCATGATACAATCAATGGAAACGAATTTTCTTAGCGTCAGACGTGCACTCATCATGCGCATACATATTTCAAGCGTTTCCCCTATTTTTTACTTTTTATATTCTCCTGGATTTGGTCAAGAGATTTATTTTTTCGTTTCTATATCCAGCATCTCATTTTGACTCTTTGAAAAAAATTAAATAATATATATAGAATTATTTAATTATACGTACGTGGACTCTGTTAATATTATATTTAATAAGAAATAAGAATTAGGACACACGTTTATGTTATAAAAAGAGAAGAAATTTCGTCTTTTGAATTCGTTACGCGCGTTGACCTATCTTCAACTTTTGCCGCACTCGCACCGGAAGTACGTCACGCACGACGTTTTGAGAAACGGCAACGCGATGGCGCCATCGACGACGAAGTATAACGAGCTCGCACGAGACTGGCCGAAATACTTAGTCGCAGTCGCCATTTTGTCGGGTAGTCATCGGGATCATCGTGTCTCTCTCACGTCGGGTATTTCGTCCGTATTTCGTTCGGGCGAAGTAAAACTAGCCGTCGAATTTGGATACCCGATAGCTCTGCTCGTAACGTCACCCCGCAAATGGCTTGTCTGAACACTCTCAAGCAGGAAATCAAAACGCTCGAATCCGTCTTCCCCAAGAGCCATGAGAGGTTTCAGATAATGTCTGCGAGCGTGGACGAGCTCAGCTGCAGATTCGTCGGTAAAAATGGGAAGAAGTACGAAATACACGCCAATATCACAGTAAGTGTAACACGCGCGCGCGTACGAATGAAAGTACGCGAGTGTGCTTTGAACGATCATTAACTCGTTGTGTGCGTGCGTACGTGCATTCGTTCGTTCGTTGCTTCGTTCATTTCGTCCGTTCACTCGTTCCGAATAGACACTCGCTTGGTGTCTGATCCGGACGTATAAGGACAAAGAAACAATACTCTCGATATTGCTTGGTGTTAGACAACAAGACACGCGATCGACGATACTTCGATATCACGGCGTTTTTATTATTTCCTTTTCACGCGATAGCTCGATCATTTCGACGCTGTTGCAATTGATTTTTTTTTTTTTCCTAATATCGTAGGATGAGAATCTTCATTAGTGGATTAATAGCGTGATAAAGATTGATGCTAGGATGATAGTACAGTCCTTTTTCGCAAAGGATAATGTCGTTTTTTTAACAGTCTTATCAAAATTGTTTTGACACAATGTCAGACGAACGCAGAGAGAAAGAGAGAGAGAGAGAGAGAGAGTGAGATAGAGAGGGAGAAACAGACAGACAGACAGACAGACAAAGAAGATTCGTTTTCAAATATCGTACGATGTTTCGTATTTCATTAATTCCGTATCGAATGCAATTTAATAACAAATAGCAACGAGAGTTTGATTTTTTCTTACAACGCGAGAGACGTAACGAGAGTGACTTATGTGTGCATGTGTATGCACGATGTCAGCACGAAGAATATTGCAATCAAGCGCAATCCTTTTGTAATGTGTATTGTCTGTACGTTATTCTTGTAGATATTTCAGCATTTTTCGTGCATCATTTACTGATTATACGGTAGAGGTCGGTGTGTTCATATTTCTTTGTGTATATGTGTGTTAAATGGATGTAAACGTGCGCGCTTGAGTGTATATGTGAGAGACAGTCTGTGTTCAAACTGTGTTAAAACTGTTTTGTCTTTTTGCTTTTATATTTTAATATGATTTCTACCGTTGTATGACACATAAGAGCTGTATTAATATTAACAATGTTAATGCAGGAAACCTATCCTTCAACACCACCGGTCTGGTTCGCCGAATCCGAAGAGACTAGTGTTACAAACGCTGTACAAATTTTAAGTAACACAACGGGCCGCGACAACCACGTAATCAACCAAGTTGGAATTCTTTTGAAAGAATTATGCAGATTACATTCGTTACCAGAACCGCCGGATGTCGAAAGACTCAGGACTGCTTTGGATCCTTTACGTTTAGGAGGACCAAACGAAGCTGTGGCACAAAGGATGGACGCCGAAGATATAGATGATATTGATGAAGATGAAGAGAGTGAGACTGAAGAAGACTTACACTTGGATATGGATGAAGGAGACGCTAACGCTAAGAGTAAGGTAAAGAAGGATAAGCTTACGACACTGATCTAATACACAACTGCTACCGTTGTTATGATCTTAATGTTCAATGCTACAGAGCGAAGAAATGGATTTGGAACATCTTGCAACATTGGAAAGGTTGAGACAGAATCAGAGACAAGATTATTTGAAAGGATCTGTTTGTGGAAGTGTGCAAGCTACTGATAGACTCATGAAAGAACTACGTGATATATATCGAAGTGACAGTTTTAAAAAAGGTATATTTTTTTTAAATTTTGGAAGAGAGATTTTATATATGTGTACACATACACACATAATTAAACTATGTTTTAATAAGCATTATATTTAGTACACATATATATGTGTATATAAAACTTTTTCCATTCTTTCCAGGCATGTATAGCATAGAACTAGTAAATGACAGTTTATATGAATGGAATATCAGGTTGATGTGTGTAGATCCTGATTCACCACTTCATAGCGATCTCATTCTTTTAAAAGAGAAAGAAGGCAAAGACAGTATTCTTCTCAATATGCTTTTCAAGGTATTTTGTTATATATATATCTTATTACAATAATAAGCTTAAATTTGTATATATTAGCTTGTAGTTTTGAGCAACTTTGTGAATCTTTTAACTATGTTAGGTGTTGTAATTTTCTATCACAGGAAACCTATCCATTTGAACCTCCATTTGTAAGAGTTGTACATCCCATCATTTCTGGTGGTTATGTTCTTGTGGGAGGTGCTATTTGTATGGAACTTCTTACAAAACAGGGATGGAGTTCGGCATATACGGTAGAAGCTGTTATAATGCAGATTTCAGCGACATTAGTGAAGGGAAAAGCACGAATACAGTTCCAAGGATCAGGTGGTGCTGGAAAAGTGTGTGGCGGACAAGGCCAATATAGTTTGGCGCGTGCCCAACAGTCATTCAAGTCTCTTGTACAAATACACGAAAAAAATGGTAAGAATTTACTTATTTTTTTATGCTATACTTAATATATATATTATAAATATATATTTTCACATTGACATCTGGCAGGTTGGTTTACACCCCCAAAAGAGGATGGCTAATGAACAGCGATTACAAAGAACCGGAAATATGAAACATGCTTACAACTGAGACTTTAATTCGGTGTGTGCCCAACAAGTAATTGTTATGATAATGATTTGATACACAAACACAACAGTAACTAGGTAACTTAAGATACTAAATTAATCTATTGTACAATTCCTTTGATGGCTAAAAAAGCTGCCGTATACACTTTGGTTGCGTATCCATATATTTTCGGTCACTAGCTGTAGGTCGCGAGTTGTATCAGTAAATGTAAGATATCATTTCACTTGAAATTGATTCTTATGTTTTGAGGAAAAATCCCACAATTATATTATACTATATAGTAATTATTATATATATAATAATTATGAAGAGTAATTATTATTATATATAGTAATTTTAGTACTCTTTGAAGATACATATGTTGTACGTGCGAAACAGTATATTCTGAAAAATGCGTTTGCGCAATCGTGCTTCCTGTCTTTTTAGCGGGAGGAGATTATGTGTGGTTAGCATTATAAATTAATAATAATGCTGAAGAGATTTTTAAGTGTTTCTTTTATTGTTTTATCATTTTTTAAGCATTATTATTTTTTTTTTTTTCTTATAAAACAATGGTTATTCTCTGTGCAATTTGATTGATATATATATAAGCAACAAGTAAAAGTAATGGTAGTGAAAATGCATCTCCAAGGAAAAGGATACCGTTTTTTTTCTCATTGAAATTTTCCGTCAGATATCTCGTAAGGAATATCCAAATTATGCAAACGCACAACCAAAGCATTTTTCGGCAAACTAATTGGAAATAAAATGACTAAATGTGTAGAATATAAGTGTAGCTTTTCATTAGGAGGCTCTAGAGAGTACAATCATAGAAATGACAAAAGTTTCTGCAAACTTTTTAGACTTGCAATTAAATGTGTTTCGTACAACTAATTTTATCTACATTAATCAAGTCAGATTTTTGACACGAGAAGCGATATTTTTTTACATTCGGCAAATGTAGCATATTTTGTAGTATTAATAGATTAGGTAAAATGTAGAATCATATATTATATACAGCTTATATTGTATACGGCACAGTATAATTAATATAAATATTTATCTTTTGCATAGAAAATAAGGATGAGGCAGATATCTAATATATAAATGATAATAGAAACACATGTTTTCTTTCTTAAAATAGTAAATATTGCAAAAGTTTGTGTTAGTCTTTTCTTTGCAATATTATCACGGAATGTGGCTTATAACTTTCTATAATATATTTATATATA